GGCTGTTTGCAGCTGGTCACACACCATTCAGGGTGGGGGTCCCCACTGGGGTGCTTGGCCAGTCTGGGTGAGGGGCTGAGGGCTGTTTTCAGGCTGGCGGGTGACGGAACCTCCCAACCGCTCCTTTTTTTCTTTTTTCTTTTTTTATTCTGGGCCAGTTTTAGCTCTGAGGCTCCAGCTCTTAGGCCTCCACTACTGAAAGCAGTTATCTGGTTTGTTTCGGTTCTGTAATCGAAACAACATATAACTCCTGCTCTGAGATCCCGGCTCACTGAAAGCAGGTTTCTGGGGTTTTGTTTAGCTTCTATATTTGTTACAATGTTTCTTAAACTGCAAGCTCAGAGGCCAGCAAGGCAGGCGGGGAATGTTGGAGTCCTCCCTCACTGAAGCAAGCAAGCCTCATGTTAGTTTCAAGCTGCTTGGCTGCTGGCCGCCATCTTGGCTGGCAGTTAATTTGCATAGTGCCCTGATTAGCCAATGGGAAGGGTAGCGGTTGTACGCCAATTACCATGTTTCTCTTTTATTAGTGTAGATGAACCCTCTGCTAAGATATTCTCTCCCTCTCCTCAGAAACTGCCACCTATTGGAAGAAGAAGTCTCTATAAGACCAGTTATTCATCTTTGCCTAAGTACATATTCGAGGACCGGGAAGATGTTGTTAAAGCCAACATCTGTGATCCCTTGGAAATCATTCAAATATTACGTGAAAATGAACATCTTGGATTTCTTTATATGATTCCTGCAGTGCCAAGGTCTTCAATTGAATATGATACCTATAATCTGAAGTAAGTTCTCTTGTATGAAGCCACTCATTAATATTAAAAATTACACAGATTGCAAATGTTACCCATAATTCATTGGTTGTTAATGATAAATATGAGCCCTAGTCATTTTGGCTCAGTGGATAGAGCATTGGCCTGTGGACTGAAGGGTCCCAGGTTTGATTCCAGTTAAAGGTACATGCCTGGGTTGCAGGCTTGATCCCCAGTAGGGGGCATGCAGAGGCAGCCGATCAATGATTCTCTCTCATCATTGATGTTTCTCTCTCTCTTT